CTAGCTCAGGGTGGTGGGTGACTCTAGCTCAGGGTGGTAGGTGACTCTAGGTCAGGGTGGTCAGTGTCTCCCGTTCAGGAAGGTTGGTGACTCCATCGTGGGGCCTCAGTCCCTGGCACAGGGTACCCACCTATATACATCCAGCCCTCCTGAGGGGATCTAGCACATGAAGGGTTAACCCCTGTTGAAGCGCCCCGGTGGCCGCAGAGCTGACACTCACTCTGGAAATGTCTGTAAGTCGTGTTTTGTGGTGGAGAGTAAATTGGAAGTTAATGAAGACATTCCAGCGGGATGGTTTTCTCGGCAGACAGATGATTGCACCGTGTGTGAGTCACTGCGGACGTCGCTTTTATTACTGGAACCATTTCACACATCTGGTGACCTTCCCTGCCAGGGTGTCAGGAGGGTGTCAGGAGGGTGTCAGGAGGGTGTCAGGAGGGTGTCAGGATGGTGTCAGGAGGGTGTCAGGGTGTCAGGATGGTGTCAGGAGGGTGTCAGGAGGGTGTCAGGAGGGTGTCAGGATGGTGTCAGGAGGGTGTCAGGATGGTGTCAGGATGGTGTCAGGAGGGTGTCAGGATGGTGTCAGGATGGTGTCAGGGGGGTGTCAGGGTGTCAGGGTGTCAGGAGGGTGTCAGGATGGTGTCAGGAGGGTGTCAGGAGGGTGTCAGGAGGGTGTCAGGATGGTGTCAGGAGGGTGTCAGGATGGTGTCAGGAGGGTGTCAGGTTGGTGTCAGGAGGGTGTCAGGATGGTGTCAGGATGGTGTCAGGATGGTGTCAGGAGGGTGTCAGGATGGTGTCAGGAGGGTGTCAGGAGGATGTCAGGAGGGTGTCAGGATGGTGTCAGGAGGGTGTCAGGAGGATGTCAGTATGGTGTCAGGATGGTGTCAGGAGGGTGTCAGGAGGGTGTCAGGAGGGTGTCAGGATGGTGTCAGGAGGGTGTCAGGAGGGTGTCAGGAGGGTGTCAGGATGGTGTCAAGAGGGTGTCAGGATGGTGTCAAGAGGGTGTCAGGATGGTGTCAGGAGGGTGTCAGGATGGTGTCAGGAGGGTGTCAGGAGGGTGTCAGGATGGTCCCGGCTCTGGTGTTGACCTTCTGTAGAGTCCCTCATCGGTGTCACTGGCTGGGAAGGATCTCCAGGATGGTGAAGGCAGCAATCACGGGCTGTGTGTTGGCACTCGTCTTGTGTCGTCCAATAGCCGCCCTTGGGGGCCACCAACAGTTCTGACTTCTGAACAATCTTTCTTGTCTGTTGCTGGAAAACCCCAAACTGGAAGAATCTCCCCAAATCCGGACCCCCGAGGGCTGTGTCAGGGCCCCCCAGTATAATACACCTGCTGGCCAGATCTGTCCCTACTATTAACAGGCCAAGTTTTCCAGAAACTGCAAACCCAAAAAATGGCCGAGCTTCCTTATACCGTTCTTGAAGCTGAACTGCGGGAAGCAGATCCGCTGCAATGCATGGAGACTGTATCACCTACCAAAGGGTTTGTATTTCTGTCCGTCCAATCAGGAGGTCTGATTTGACTTTGCTGTGGTTAATACTTACAGGTTTTGTCCCTCCCCTAGCATGTGATTGGACAGTGAATAGTGAAGCAGCTCATCTCTTGGTCACTTGGCTCTCTCCTCCTGTCAGCATTCCCCGTGTTAGTACATGAACACTACTAATTGGCTGTTTCCCCCTCTCCCAGTCTGAGCCTTGCTGTACCAGAACTGCAAGAGGCCTATAATAAGCCACATTGACATACACTTCTGTATTCCCTGAAGCGTGCAGCGCGTCCTGCAGTTGAGGCAGTGATGTTACCATGGCTGCAGTCCGGGGCGGTGTGCGCCATTTGCGCTCTCGGGATGTTCACATGTAAGAGCGCAGTCTGCGATGGAAAACATCTGAAGGATTCCTGCACTGCGGGGATCTGTTCCTTCATGTGAGTGCGGCGTGATGTGGGCACACCTTGGCTGATGCCGGAGGACTTACCTTCACTGGAGGCCAGTGGCGGTGGATTGGCAGAGGGATACAAACCTTGCTGGAGCCACCAAACCATCTGAGAACCCCCTGCTTGCTCATTAGTAGGGTGGAGGTCCTTCGAAGGAGCCGCTAAGAGGCGGTGGCTGATCAGCACCGATGTTTGGACGAACCTTTTGGATTTGGCTACTTCTTTGCTTAAAGTGGAGCTCCGGGGAAGTTCTGCTTCAAGGACTGGTCCCCCACTCCACGATAAGGATTGGTGCCTTTGGGGAGTGGGGACCCAAAATGGACAGGTACCCGCTCCCACTTCCACTGAAGTTGTCCCCCCAATAGTCTTTTGGGACACGTGACACGCCCCGGGAGACTATTCAGAAGGCGCAGCACTACTTGCACACGTGCAGGGGGCACCCGGCTGGGAAACAGCAGGCTGTCACAACTGGGGACCCACCACTATTTCACCAATACTCCACCAGTACTCCTCCACCAATATCCCACCAATACTCCACCAATATCCCACCAATACTCCACCAATATTCCACCAATATCCCACCAATACTCCACCAATACTCCACCACTATTCCACCAATACTCCACCAATATTCCACCAATATCCCACCAATACTCCACCAATACTCCACCACTATTCCACCAATACTCCACCAATACTCCACCACTACTCCACCAATACCCCACCAATATTCCACCAATACTTCACCAATATTCCACCAATACTCCACTAATATTCCACCAATATTCCAATATTGGTGGAGCATTGGTGGAGCATTGGTGGAGTATTGGTGGGATATTGGTGGGGTATTGGTGGAGTAGTGGTGGAGTATTGGTGGGATATTGGTGGAGTATTGGTGGAGTATTGGTGGAATAGTGGTGGAGTTTTGGTGGAATATTGGTGAAGTATTGGTGGAATATTGGGGGAGTTTTGGTGGAATATTGGTGGAGTATTGGTGGGATATTAGTGGAATATTAGTGGAGTATTGGTGGGATATTGGTGGAGTATTGGTGGGATATTGGTGGAATATTAGTGGAGTATTGGTGGGATATTGGTGGAATATTTGGAGTATTGGTGGGATAATGGTGGAATAGTGGTGGAGTATTGGTGGAATAGTGGTGGAATATTGTTGGAATATTGGTGGAGTTTTGGTGAAGTATTGGTGGAATATTGGGGGAGTTTTGGTGGAATATTGGGGGAGTATTGGTGGGATATTAGTGGAATATTAGTGCAGTATTGGTGGGATATTGGTGGAATATTGGTGGGATATTGGTGGAGTATTGGTGGGATAATGGTGGAATAGTGGTGGAGTATTGGTGGAATATTGGGGGAGTTTTGGTGGAATATTGGTGGAGTATTGGTGGAATATTGGTGGAGTTATTGGTGGAGTATTGGGGGAGTATTGGTGGGATATTGGTGAGATATTGGTGGAGTTTTGGTGGAATATTGGTGGAGTATTGGTGGAGTTTTGGTGGAGTATTGGTGGAATAGTGGTGGAGTTTTGATGGGATATTGGTGGGATATTAGTGGAATATTAGTGCAGTATTGGTGGGATATTGGTGGAATATTGGTGGGATATTGACCGGCCGTGTGGAATTGGTGGAATGAACACGTCTCCATTTTCAATGATTGCTATTCCTATCGGCTGTTTGCATTCATTGATGTATTAATAATGAGGATTTTGTGCCTTTCATTGGATCGGTCCTGTTATTCCCCTTCACCCGGGCCGGTCCTGTTACCTCCTTCACACGAGCCGGTCCTGTTATCCCCCTTCACACAGGCCGGTCCTGTTATCCTCCTTCACACAAGCAGGTCCTGTTATCCCCCTTCACACGGGCCGGTCCTGTTATCCCCCTTCACACGGGCTGGTCCTGTTACCTCCCTTCACACGGGCCGGTCCTGTTATCCCTCTTCACACGGGCCGGTCCTGTTATCCCCCTTCACACGGGCTGGTCCTGTTATCCCCCTTCACACGGGCTGGTCCTGTTATCCCCCTTCACACGGGCCGGTCCTGTTATCCCCCTTCACACGGGCTGGTCCTGTTGGCGGATCCACATGCTGAGTGGAGGGATCCCCGGTGAGCATGTGGAGGTCCGTGTCCGCTCCGCTGCTGCAGGGGGACACAGCCCGCTGTCCTCTATGGGGCGGTCAGACTCTGACCGCCTGTCCCTTTCCACCCAACTGTCTTCCAATCCGCCGGATGGATGGGGAACGATCCCCATCTGTCTGTTTTTGGTGTGCAGGATGGGATCAGGTGCCGGTGGGTGTCAGTGGTCACTTGTCCGCTGACACCTGCCTGTCCATGGAGGTCTATGGGTGGTCCGGTCAGTTTTTCAGGCGGACCGGATCGGACTGCCAGTGTGAAAGGGACCTCAGTGGGAGTGGAGCCAGGAATGGATCTGCTGATTAATCAGAATCATTCGGAAAGTTCAACAACATTTCAGGTAATTGAACATATTTGCAGCATTTTAGGAGCAACATGCTGTCAGCCAATGGTAATGGGAGAAGTGATTGGAATGATTTCCCAGCATGCTGGAAAATATTTATCACATCTTATCATGACATCATCGGAGATATTGGCTACTCCTGTCACATGACTAGCGGATCGCCGGAGTCACACTGATCATTCTGCCATTTACTGTGTGCAGGTGATCGAGTGTTGGACCATGGTTGGATCTCCGGAAGACTCGCCCAGGTCCCCCCACCCCAGCAATACACACACAGCGCTCGTGGCCAGATTTTATTGGTAGCGGTACAGGTGAGACAAAGGCGATGGGTCAGGTGGTCAGAGGGGGCGGAGTGATTCCAGGCTCAGGTCCTACATGACCCGGAGGAGTGTCGGGAAAATGGCGGATGGGGCAACAGTGGGGTGCCTGAAGGCAGCAGAAGACTGATTGGGGGGACATTCAGAAAATTAGAGCACAGATCTGAGGCAAACGTTACAGAGGGAGACTGCATCCAACAGGACACGATCTATCAGTGGAAGTCGATGAAGGTGCCGATTGACAGATATTATCCACCAGCCTTGGGATCAGGAGAGCGGGAGGAGGAGGAAGCCAGTGAAGATGCTATCGGCCCCATCGGTCCCCAGCAGGTTGTTCTTTTCGGTGGTCTCCAGCCATACGGTCTCATCTTTCTGCACCTCCAATACCACACCACCCGTGGTCACCTGGAAGAGGTTGAGGACCTGGTCACAGAAGTTCACCACCTTCTGCTTGTTGGTACCCGGTTTGCCTCTCATGATGTTGACGCAGAGGTTACCCCTGGAGGTGGCATGGTAGGTGAAGTAGTAGATGCCCGGGGACTGGCAGGTGAATTTTCCTGTCAGTGTATTATACTGTTTGTTGACATTGATGAGTTCCTGGTCAAAGCGGACAGGCTGTTCTCTTCGGGGTAAGCCTGGGGTCAATTTCCTTACAGAAAAGGCAGAGTGGCCATCTGTCTTGTATTCTCCAGAGTCCCCCTTCCTCCCTTTCTGACCTGGTGGCCCGGCGGTCCTGGGGGCCCCATTGGACCTTTAGGACCCACCTTTCCAGGGTTTCCTGCAGGCCCGGGGTCTCCATGATGTTCCTCCTTGTTCCAACCTTCAAAGAAACCAGGTGGTCCTACAAGACAGAAGACCTTTTAGTCTAAATGGAGACGGTCATTTTCACCATCACCCCATTCCTGATTGGATGAATTGTCCTCACCCATTTCACCCTTCTTCCCGTCATCGCCATCATTTCCATCTGGTCCAGGAATGCCAGGGACACCAGGTAACCCTGGCATGTTGGCCTGGCAGTTCTGTGTCTCTGAGAAGGAGATAGACAGAAGAATGAGGCCCAGGCTGAGCAGCCTCCCCCAGGTCTCCATCGTAGAGTCCGAGCCGAACAGCAGCTGGAAGTAGAAGACGAGGAAGACATTATTATCTGCAGAGAACATAGAATGGAGAATTCCCTTCCCACCCCACCCCACCCCACCCCAAGGTCTTCCATAGTGGAGAGGAACACCTCAGAAACAAGGTATTACTCCCTTCCCCCACCCCGCTCCTCTCACCAGGAATCCTTCCATTACCAACTGATCATGTTATAGAAACAATAATAATAGGGACAAAAAGTCTTGTGTTGCATTGTTGGTCGGTCAATGTTCAGGAGGGCGAAAACTAAGAGGGGGTTTGGGGGGGGGGGGAGGATTCCCAGAGAGATTCCCAGGACAAATGAGATTTCCCTATAGTCATATTACAACCAATCCTCTCCTGTCTCCTGAGAAGAACATTTGAGTTGTTGCCATGGGCAACGTGACTTCTTTCCCATTCTACGTATTGTGTCAGAAAAGGCCGATGCATCACCTCCAGGGGGATCTGAGAGATTTGAGGGACAGCGAGAAGGTTGGTGCCATTATTTCTGCGTTTTATAAATTCCCCTCCAAATGATTTGTTTCCTTCACTTCTTCTCAGAGGTTTCTGAGGCCCCCCAAGCCGTCTGTCCGCGGCGCGCCCGGGAGCCCTGACATTGGTGGAGGAGCCCCGACCTCGGAGCGGAGACTTTGGAGATGACGGTGAACAGGAAATTAACAGATTTTATTGGGAATATTTGGTGTCGGAGTCACAGCCGCGAGAGGGATATTCATCTAAACACAGATGGGGGGCGTAAACTGGAGATTACTGGAAACGCCACCACTTCACAGGAGCGCCAGGCCAGCCGGCAGAAGGTGGTGGAGCATTGAAGATGAACACTCAGTGGTTGAGTCATCAATGCTGCTGTCCGATGGGGGGGGGCATGGGGTGCAGGGATTGGGTACTAGGCACCCCAAATCAAGTTCCACTCCTACCAGGACCCAAGGAAGCTCTCCAGGGTTCCTCCAGTAGGATCACTGGACAGGAATGACATTAATGTCTGCTGGTCAGAAGGGGGCGCTCTGAACAATACACCCCCAGATAAAGGACTCCTCCGCTGAGGAGCCGGGCCGGGGGTCTGGGTGTAGTCCTGATCCGCAGAGTACGTGACTATACACAGACAGGTGAGGGGGATACGTGACTATACACAGGTGAGGGGGGTACGTGACTATACACAGACAGGTGAGGGGGGTACGTGACTATACACAGGTGAGGGGGGTACGTGACTATACACAGGTGAGGGGGATACGTGACTATACACAGGTGAGGGGGGTACGTGACTATACACAGGTGAGGGGGATACGTGACTATACACAGACAGGTGAGGGGGGGGTACGTGACTATACACAGGTGAGGGGGGTACGTGACTATACACAGGTGAGGGGGATACGTGACTATACACAGACAGGTGAGGGGGGTACATGACTATACACAGGTGAGGGGGGTACGTGACTATACACAGGCAGGTGAGGGGGTACGTGACTATACACAGACAGGTGAGAGGGGTACGTGACTATACACAGACAGGTGAGAGGGGGTACGTGACTATACACAGACAGGTGAGGGGGTACGTGACTATACACAGACAGGTGAGGGGGGTACGTGACTATACACAGACAGGTGAGGGGGTACGTGACTATACACAGACAGGTGAGGGGGTACGTGACTATACACAGACAGGTGAGAGGGGGTACGTGACTATACACAGACAGGTGAGGGGGGTACGTGACTATACACAGACAGGTGAGGGGGTACGTGACTATACACAGACAGGTGAGGGGGGTACGTGACTATACACAGGCAGGTGAGGGGGGTACGTGACTATACACAGGCAGGTGAGGGGGGTACGTGACTATACACAGGCAGGTGAGGGGGGTACGTGGCATTACATATACAGGTGAGGGGGGTATGTGATTATACACAGGTGAGGGGGGTATGTGATTATACACAGGTGAGGGGGGTATGTGATTATACACAGACAGGTGAGGGGGGTACGTGACTATACACAGGTGAGGGGGGTATGTGATTATACACAGGTGGGGGGGTATGTGATTATACACAGGTGAGGGGGGTATGTGATTATACACAGACAGGTGAGGGGGGTACGTGGCATTACATATACAGGTGAGGGGGGTACATGGCTATACACACACAGGTGAGGGGGGTACGTAGCTGTACACACACAGGTGAGGGGGGTACATGGCTGTACACACAGACAGGTGAGGGGGGTACGTGGCTGTACACACACACAGGTGAGGGGGGTATGTGGCTGTACACAGACAGGTGAGGGGGGGGTACATGGCTGTACACACAGAGGTGAGGGGGGTATGTGGCTGTACACACACACAGGTGAGGGGGGTACGTGGCTGTACACACAGACAGGTGAGGGGGGTACGTGGCTGTACACACAGACAGACAGGTGAGGGGGGTACGTGGCTGTACACACAGACAGGTGAGGGGGGTACGTGGCTTTACACACACAGGTGAGGGGGGTATGTGGCTGTACACACACAGGTGAGGGGGGTATGTGGCTGTACACACACAGAGGTGAGGGGGGTATGTGGCTGTATACACAGACAGGTGAGGGGGGTACATGGCTGTACACACACACACAGAGGTGAGGGGGGTATGTGGCTGTACACAGAGACAGGTGAGGGGGGGTACATGGCTGTACACACAGAGGTGAGGGGGGTATGTGGCTGTACACACACAGAGGTGAGGGGGGTATGTGGCTGTACACACAGAGGTGAGGGGGGTATGTGGCTGTATACACAGACAGGTGAGGGGGGGGGGTACGTGGCTGTACACACACACAGAGGTGAGGGGGGTATGTGGCTGTACACAGACAGGTGAGGGGGGTACATAGCCTGCGGCAGGTAGCAGTTGATCACGTACCTCTGTGGTGGGATGCTGGTGGTTGTCAGTGGTTGGTAGTCGCCGGGCTCCGATATCACTGTCAGGGAAAAGCAGAAGTGAGATGTTTGTTGTGATTTGGGGACTAAATCGCATTTTACAGACACAGCAGATGTGACATTGCACAACCCCCTCCTTCCTCTTCCCAGTACCGGAATCCCCCCCCCCCCCCGGTACCCCCCCCTCCCCCACATGGGGAAATGAAGATGTTTTTTTCACGGCTGAATTAAAGGGCCCCGACCTGCACTGGGGGGGATGAAGATCTGTCCCCGGGGGAGACATTTCCCTGAACACCACAGACTTCCTGTCCACCAATCCCACCAAAGTACTCTGGAGGGGGACATGGATCTGCTGTACACTGACTTCATCAATAGGGGGCTCCCCTGCCGCACACTGACACCCCAGATGTCAGGGAGGTGACACTACCACTCCCATCTCCGGAACACTCCCGGAACACTCATCTGGAACACTCCCATCTCTGGAATACTCTCTTATCTCCGGAATACTCCCATCTCCGGAATACTCCCATCTCCAGAATACTCCCATCACCGGAACACTCCCATCTCCAGAATACTCCCATCACCGGAACACTCCCATCTCCCAAAGTACTCCCATCTCCGGAATACTCTTATCTCTGAAATACACCCATCTCTGAAATACTCCCATCTCTGGAATACACTTATCTCCGGAACACTCCATCTCCGGAATACTCCCATCTCCGGAATACACTTATCTCCGGAATACTCCCATCTCCGGAATACTCCCATCTCCGGAATACACTTATCTCTGGAATACTCCCATCTCCGGAATACACTTATCTCCGGAATACTCCCATCTCTGGAATACTCCCATCTCCGGAATACACTTATCTCCGGAATACTCCCATCTCTGGAATACTCCCATCTCCGGAATACACTTATCTCCGGAATACTCCCATCTCCGGAATACACTTATCTCCGGAATACTCCCATCTCCGGAATACACTTATCTCTGGAATACTCCTATCTCCGGAATATTCTTATCTCCGGAATACTCCCAACCCCAAAAATACTCCCATCTCCGGAACAATACCATCACCGGAACACTCCCATCACCGGAAAACTCCCATCTCTGGAATACTCCAATCTCCGGAATACTCCCATTACTGGAATACTCCCATCTCCGGAATACTCCCATCTTTGGAATACTCCCATCACCGGAATACTCCCATCTCTGGAATTCTCCCATCACCGGAATACTCTCATCTCTGGAATTCTCCCATCACCGGAAAACTCCCATCTCTAGAATACTCCTTTCTCCGGAATACTCCCATCTCCGGAATACTCCCATCTCCCGAATACTCCCATCTCTGGAATACTCCCATCTCTGGAATACTCCCATCTCTGGAATACTCCCATCTCCGGAATACTTTTATCTCTGGAATTCTCTTATCTCTGGAATACTCCCATCTCCGGAATACACTTATCTCTGGAATACTCCTATCTCCGGAATATTCTTATCTCCGGAATACTCCCAACCCCAAAAATACTCCAATCTCCGGAACAATACCATCACCGGAACACTCCCATCACCGGAAAACTCCCATCTCTGGAATACTCCAATCTCCGGAATACTCCCATTACTGGAATACTCCCATCTCCGGAATACTCCCATCTTTGGAATACTCCCATCACCGGAATACTCCCATCTCTGGAATTCTCCCATCACCGGAATACTCCCATCTCTGGAATTCTCCCATCACCGGAAAACTCCCATCTCTAGAATACTCCTTTCTCCGGAATACTCCCATCTCCGGAATACTCCCATCTCCCGAATACTCCCATCTCTGGAATACTCCCATCTCTGGAATACTCCCATCTCCGGAATACTTTTATCTCTGGAATTCTCTTATCTCTGGAATACTCCCATCTCCGGAATACTCTTATCTCTGGCATACTCCCATCTCCGGAATACTCCCATCTCTGGAATACTACCATTTCTGGAATTCTCCCATCTCCGGAATACCCCCATCTTCAGAATTCTCTTATCTCCGGAATACTCCCATCTCTGGAATACTCTTATCTCTGGAATACTCTTATCTCCGGAATACTCCCATCTCTGGAATACTCCCATCACCGGAATACTCTCAACTCCAGAATCCTCTTATCTCCGGAATTCTCTTATCTCCAGAATACTTTTATCTCTGGAATTATCTTATCTCCGGAATACCCCCATCTTCGGAATTCTCTTATCTCTGGAATACTCTTATCTCCGAATACTTTTATCTCTGGAATTATCTTATCTCCGGAATACTCTCATCTCCAGAATTCTCTTATCTCCGGAATACTCTTATCTCTGGAAATCTCTTATCTCCGGAATTCTCTTATCTCTGGAATTCTCTTATCTCCGGAATACTCCCATCTCCGGAATACTCTTATCTTCGGTGTATTCTCATGTCCGGAGTACTCTTGTCTCCTTGCAGTCATTCAGCTCTATGTTAATGAGACAAATATGTCCCCTCGGGGGATGATGGGAATCGGAGGGTTTATTTCCAGGTGGGATTAGCCGTCTGATTGGATTCTATAAACATTTTTGGCTCTCTCCTGCTGGCCTGTAATTGGACGACATTCTTGCCCACCTGGAGGAATTTTCGGTTAAACACACTTAAACACCCCTCAATCAATGGCGAGTATTTCCCAGCATGTTGACGTCATGTTGTATTTATCCATTCAGAGGATTCACCTCCCATCAGGGTGGGGTAATAATATGAGGGATGTCAGCCCCTCCGTGGTATAATATGCACAGTCAGAACCTGTCAGGTGGAGATCATTTATGGCCAGGTGTCCCTTCAGTAGCCCCATTGTGGGGAACATTGCCTGGAGATGGTGGGGGGATGGTGAGGGGTCATTGAATGGGAGATAGTGAGGGGTCATTGTCTGTAGATGGTGGAGGGTCATTATCTGGGAGATGATGAGAGGTCATTGTCTGTAGATGGTGGAGGGTCATTATCTGGGAGATGGTGAGGGGTCATTATCTGGGAGATGGTGAGAGGTCATTATCTGGGAGATGGATAGGGTCATTGTCTTGGAGATGGTGAGAGGTCATTGTCTGTAGGTGGTGGAGGGTCATTATCTGGGAGATGGTGAGGGGTCATTATCTGGGAGATGGTGAGAGGTCATTGTCTGTAGATGGTGGAGGGTCATTATCTGGAAGATGGTGAGAGGTCATTGTCTGTAGATGGTGGAGGGTCATTATCTGGGAGATGGTGAGGAGTCATTATCTGGGAGATGGATAGGGGTCATTGTCTTGGAGATGGTGAGAGGTCATTGTCTGTAGATGGTGAGGGGTCATTATCTGGGAGATGGTGAGGGGTTATTGTCTGTAGATGGTGGAGGGTCATTATCTGGGAGATGGTGAGGGGTCATTGTCTGGAGGATGGTGAGGGGTCATTGTCTTGGAGATGGTGAGGGGTCATTGTCTGGAGGATGGTGAGGAGTCATTGTCTGGAGGATGGTGAGAGGTCATTGACTGGAGGATGGTGAGGGGTCATTGTCTGGAGGATGGTGAGGAGTCATTGAATGGGTGATGGTGAGGGGTCATTGTCTGGGAGATGGTGAGGAGTCATTGTCTGGAGGATGGAGAGGGGTAATTGGGGGATGGTGAGGGGTCATTGTCTGGAGGATGGAGAGGGGTCATTGGGGGATGGTGAGGGGTCATTGTCTGGGAGATGGTGAGGAGTCATTGTCTGGAGGATGGAGAGGGGTCATTGGGGGATGGTGAGGGGTCATTGTCTGGAGGATGGAGAGGGGTCATTGGGGGGTGGTGAGGGGTCATTGTCTGGGAGATGGTGAGGAGTCATTGTCTGGAGGATGGAGAGGGGTCATTGGGGGATGGCGAGGGGTCATTATCTGGGAGATGGTGAGGAGTCATTGTCTGGGAGATGGTGAGGGGTCATTGTCTGGAGGATGGAGAGGGGTCATTGGGGGATGGTATGGGGTCATTGTCTGGGAGATGGTGAGGAGTCATTGTCTGGAGGATGGAGAGGGGTCATTGGGGGATGGTATGGGGTCATTGTCAGGAGATGTTGAAGGGTCTTTTGCATGGGAGATGGTGATGGTTCGAGGTCACTGAAGCACATCCCTTTAGGCTCATTTCTCGTGTCTGTTTTGTGGCTTGGTGTCGGCACAGGAGCAGGGAACGTTTATCGATGATGTGCCAGAGTTCAGCAGGACTTCTGGAGGGTCACATGACGTCAGTGTCACACCAAGAGTGAGGGATTGGGGGGAGTTCACACCTTCAGAAATCATCCATAACGAGGACCAGGACATTATTTTGACCATTATTAGAAATATTATATTGAATATTTTGTCCCCACCGATTCCCTTCCCCCGGTGCTCACAGGATTCTCCTCCCCAATAAACATGGCTGCTCTCCGGCCCTGCAGCCATCCGCTGTGAGCCCCTCCCCCTCAAGGGACCCCATGAATGGGACACAATGGCACTTCTTACAAATATATTTACTGAAGAAACAAAATGTAACATTGTTTATAGAAGATGAGACGGGAAATACACAGAAAATGCGGAGATAAGAGAGGGGGACCCCGTGTTGAGGAGCTTACAATCTAAGCAATATGGTGGCCAATCCCAATACTAGCTCCACCAATAGCATATGACTCCACCCACTTACATGCCTTCATTGACCCCAGATGTGATTGAAGCTCCACCCACACAGTCCTCTTTAACCTGGAAAGACCAGGAAGCCGGTGAAGACGCTGTCATTATTTTCGATGCCCACCATGCCGTTGTAGTCGTTGGCGACCAGCCACACCTCCTGCCCCTTCCTCAGCTGGACGAGGACGCCCCCCGAGGTGACTTGGTGAGTATTGGACACGTGGTCGCAGAAGCTGGCCTTGACGCTGTTGTCCACGCGGAGGGTGACGCACAGGTTCTGTGCCTGGGAGGCGTGGTACACAAAGTAGTAGAGCCCGGCCACGCGGCACACAAACTTGCCCGTCTCCCTGTTGTAGTCGTTGTCGATGTTGGTGATGACATCATTGAATTTGATTGGAGCGTTCTGCTCGGGGTTTTCACCCGTGTTTCTTTTCACAGTGAACGCCGACTGATACTGACGCTTGAAGTTCCCGGGCATCCCATTGTCTCCTCGGGGGCCCCGCTCACCTTTCTCTCCTGGGGTCCCTGGGGGTCCTTTAGGGCCATTTTTCCCCACTGGGCCTTTTGGGCCTTCCATTCCTTTTTCCCCTTTCAGTCCGGCCGCGTTCAAGTGCGCAGGCAGACCTGCAGAGACAGAAGAGTTCAATCAGATAGACGTCACACACAGGGGGCAATATATAGGGAACCTCAGGGGGGGCGGGGCTATAGGTGCAGAGGGTGGAGTTTGTGAGATAATATTGCGGAAGATCAGCTTCTCAATAATCCATCCTTACCGGTCAATGACATCATAAATCTTCCTCTATGGCCCCATACAGATGGTAGTTATTCTCTGTGGTACAGACCACACCCCCACTGATAGGCCACACCCACAAACTGTCACTTTCTGACAAATGTTTGAATTTTCTCCTCCCTTCTGTTTCACAGGAACACACATGCCTATCCTCCTACTAACCATGATGGCGTCTCGGTCCTTGGCTTCATACGTGTCAGCCTGGCTCCTCCATGACAATCTGCAATTTCTCGGCATGGATGATGGCAGAACACTCACGCCTACCTCAGTAATAAGTGGTATTGGGCCCCTAAGGGCCCTTCTGGCTGGCCTCTCACAGGAATGGCCCCTAAGGGCTCCTGACTTTTCTGGTGACCTTTATCTCTGGTCATGGAGCAGAAGTCACCTCCTTACTGCTGGCGGGAGGAGACCACCTCTGCGTGTTGTGTGTCACCTCCTTACTGCTGGCGGGAGGAGACCACCTCTGCGTGTTGTGTCACCTCCTTACTGCTGGCGGGAGGAGACCACCTCTGCGTGTTGTGTGCCACCTCCTTACTGCTGGCGGGAGGAGACCACCTCTGCGTGTTGTGTCACCTCCTTACTGCTGGCGGGAGGAGACCACCTCTGCGTGTTGTGTCACCTCCTTACTGCTGGCGGGAGGAGACCACCTCTGCGTGTTGTGTGTCACCTCCTTACTGCTGGCGGGAGGAGACCACCTCTGCGTGTTGTGTGCCACCTCCTTACTGCTGGCGGGAGGAGACCACCTCTGCGTGTTGTGTCACCTCCTTACTGCTGGCGGGAGGAGACCACCTCTGCGTGTTGTGTCACCTCCTTACTGCTGCGGGAGGAGACCACCTCTGCGTGTTGTGTCACCTCCTTACTGCTGGCGGGAGGAGACCACCTCTGCGTGTTGTGTCACCTCCTTACTGCTGGCGGGAGGAGACCACCTCTGCGTGTTGTGTGTCACATCCTTACTGCTGGCGGGAGGAGACCACCTCTGCGTGTTGTGTCACCTCCTTACTGCTGGCGGGAGGAGACCACCTCTGCGTGTTGTGTGTCACCTCCTTACTGCTGGCGGGAGGAGACCACCTCTGCGTGTTGTGTCACCTCCTTACTGCTGGCGGGAGGAGACCACCTCTGCGTGTTGTGTGTCACCTCCTTACTGCTGGCGGGAGGAGACCACCTCTGCGTGTTATGTGTCACCTCCTTACTGCTGGCGGGAGGAGACCACCTCTGCGTGTTGTGTCACCTCCTTACTGCTGGCGGGAGGAGACCACCTCTGCGTGTTGTGTCACCTCCTTACTGCTGGCGGGAGGAGACCACCTCTGCGTGTTATGAGTCACCTCCTTACTGCTGCTGGCGGGAGGAGACCACCTCTGCGTGTTGTGTGTCACCTCCTTACTGCTGCGGGAGGAGACCACCTCTGCGTGTTGTGTCACCTCCTTACTGCTGGCGGGAGGAGACCACCTCTGCGTGTTGTGTGTCACCTCCTTACTGCTGGCGGGAGGAGACCACCTCTGCGTGTTGTGTGTCACCTCCTTACTGCTGGCGGGAGGAGACCACCTCTGCGTGTTGTGTCACCTCCTTACTGCTGGCGGGAGGAGACCACCTCTGCGTGTTGTGTGTCACCTCCTTACTGCTGGCGGGAGGAGACCACCTCTGCGTGTTGTGTCACCTCCTTACTGCTGGCGGGAGGAGGCCCCCTCTGCGTGTTGTGTCACCTCCTTACTGCTGGCGGGAGGAGACCACCTCTGCGTGTTATGAGTCACCTCCTTACTGCTGGTGGGAGGAGACCACCTCTGCGTGTTGTGTGTCACCCCCAAATAATAGAGAATTTCTTGGGGTGAGGACTCTGCCCTGGGTGGGGCTATCAGGAGCCCCTCCCCCAATATGAGAGGTATTAGCGATCCTTAAAGACGCAAATCCTGCGTGTGAGGGGCGGAGAGCCGCGTGCCGTCTGTGCGACAATTCCTTTCTAGAATACCCCTCCCCCCCCCCACCGCATGGTTCAATGATGGCTTCTATGTAGAAATATCTCAAATCTGAGACCGTGGGCATGGCCTGGAGACGGGCGTGACCTGGAGATGGACGTGGCCTGGAGACGGGCGTGACCTGGAGATGGACGTGGCCTGGAGACGGGGGTGACCTGGAGACGGGTGTGGCCTGGAGATGGGTGTGGCTTGGAGATGGGTGTGGCCTGGAGATGGGCATGGCCTGGAGACAGGTGTGGCCTGGAGACGGGCGTGACCTGGAGATGGACGTGGCCTGGAGACGGGCGTGACCTGGAGATGGACGTGGCCTGGAGACGGGGGTGACCTGGAGACGGGTGTGGCCTGGAGATGGGTGTGGCTTGGAGATGGGTGTGGGCCTGGAGATGGGTGTGGCTTGGAGACGGGTGTGGCCTGGAGGTGGGCATGACCTGGTGACGGGCATGGCCTGGAGATGGGCGTGACCTGGAGATGGGCATGGCCAGGAGACAGGCATAGCCTGGAGATGGGTGTGGCTTGGAGACGGGTGTGGCCTGGAGATGGGTGTGGCTTGGAGACGGGTGTGGCCTGGAGATGGGCATGACCTGGAGACAGGTGTGGCATGGAGATGGGCGTGGCCTGGAGATGGGCGTGACCTGGGTATGGGTGTGGCCCAGAGATGGGCGGGTTTTTGGGGTGGGCGTGGTCTGGAGATGGGTGTGGCCTGGAGATGGGCATGACCTGGAGATGGGCATGACCTGGAGATGGGCGTGGCCTGGAGATGAGCGTGGCCTGGAGATGGGTGTGGCCTGGAGATGGGCGTGGCCCAAAGGTGGGTGTGGCCTCTATGAGGCCCCACTACTGCTGTGAAGGCGATATAAAAGGCGGGATCTTACCTTTCTCTCCTTTGGCGCCTTTCAGGCCGTCCCGCCCGTCTCTGCCTGGCGTTCCTGGAGTCCCGGGGAGTCCTGGGATGGCGGACATACATGGCGGTTCCTCACCGTCCACCAATAGGAGGAGGGAGAAGAGAATGAGGCCCACAATCATCTCTGGAGGAAGAGAGAGGCGTTAGCAATGACCTCACCAGGACCACCCACCATTCCATGCCTTGTCTAGCCTGTGGTGGGAACATGGCGGCCGGACCCCCCCCCCCCCTCATGCTGCGCTCCCAGCGACGGGCGCACTGAACACCCAACATGGAGTCCCCATTGAAGTGGAACTCGGGGTGTCGATGATCTGAGCTCGCCCCACTTTACTCCAATAGCTGCGATCCCCCCCAATGGGATCTGATTGGTGACCACAGCAAACAATGGCTGCAGGACTCTGCCTTCTGTAGTCACCGTCCCTTCCTGGCCTGTGATTGGACAGTGAGGTCATCCCTCTCATCCTCAGAGCTAATGGGGCCCCGACACTGTCTGGCAGCCATAGCACACAATGTGGTCTCTATGGGGCCCCGGCACTGTCTGGCTGCCATAGCACACACCAATGTTCCATGGGGCCCCGGCACTGTCTGGCAGCCATAGCACACAATGTGGCCTCCATGGGGCCCCGGCACTGTCTGGCAGCCATAGCACACAATGTGGCCTTGATGGGGCCCCGGAACTGTCTGGCTGCGATTCCTGGGTTAGTAAGTATGGGAAAGGCAGTAATAGAGGAAGAACGGACATTGCAAAGTTCGGGGCCTCGGCATGGTTTTCCTATGGGGCCCCTAAACATGTAGTTATGCCCCTCCCCCCCTCACAATGGCCAGGAAGGTTCAGGTACTTCTACTAGCTGCATGGAAGGAGAAGATGAATGACGTCTCTGATCAGAGGTCTGCCTGGAGTTTCTCATTCGACCAATCAGCAGCCACCTGTCACTGCTCTGACCGCTCTACACTCATGGAAGGTGGAATCTGATTGGTTATTTCGGATCTTTACCCAGCAGTCTCCATGGTGATGACACTCACCTGGCGGGTGATCCGTGGACGGTCCTCGGTGAAGTGGAGATCTTCTGGTCTAATGAGCTGAGTGACCCCCCTCCCCCCCCCGAGGATTCATCACTTCCCCATCCTTCCCGTATATCGCTGCCTCTCCGCCGACACCGCAGGGCCCCAACAACGATGACCAATCACTTTCATTTCTGCTTTCTTCAGCCAGCCAGGGGAAGGAAATCACAGATGTCCAGAAGAGCAAGGAACCAGTGTGGGGGGGAGAGGGGACCCTCAGGAGAGCCATGTGTGGGGCCCCAGGTCATTGCTCCTTCAGCCCTTCGCCCCAGTCTCCATAAATCCATCTCTAACCAGTGTGGAAATGGGGTCTCTGGCATGGGGTAGAGTGGATTGGTGGGCCCCTGGAGATGGCAGATCAGGGTGGGTGGCAGGATGATAGTTGGGGGTTCTCTCCAGTAATGGGGTCCTTTACAGACCTGAGTATCGCTCTTCTGTGGAAATTGTTAGGACTGACCTTACAAATCGAACAATTGATGGTCAGTGAGGGCCCTCGGTCTGATTTCATGACCTTCCCTCTGATGATGGGGCTCCCTGTAGGCGGGGCTTTTTTTTTTCCAGCGGGAACTCGGGGGAACCTCTAGCACTGAATGTATGTAATGGCAAGGGGTGCTGGGGTGGGTGTGGAGGGTCAATTCAGGAGGAGGCCATGCGGGACACCAGCGGACCGGGACAGGCTAGGCCACAGGGAGAGAGAAGCTGCTGACCACTGATGAATCTGGTGAGCCGTCCAATGGGCTGGAGGTCCAAAGTGCTGGTGTCCAGAGAGATCTATGAAGGAGGAACCGCAGGAACATTGGGGGCCACCTGACCGGTGCCACAGATCGGGAGACAGAGCCAAAGTGCTGGTGACCTCAGAGATCTCTGAAGGAGGAACCTCAGGAACATTGGGGGCCACCTGACCAGTGCCACAGATCGGGAGACAGAGCCAAGGTGCTGGTGACCTAAGAGATCTATGAAGGAGGAACCGCAGGAACATTGGGGGCCACCTGACCAGTGCCACAGATCGGGAGACAGAGCCAAAGTGCTGGTGACCTCAGAGATCTCTGAAGGAGGAACCTCAGGAACATTGGGGGCCACCTGACCGGTGCCACAAATCGGGAGACAGAGCCAAAGTGCTGGTTCCCTCAGAGATCTATGAAGGAGGAACCTAAGGAACATTGGGGGCCACCTGACCAGTGCCACAGATCGGGAGACAGAGCCAAAGTGCTGGTGACCTCAGAGATCTCTGAAGGAGGAACCGCAGGAACATTGGGGGCCACCTGACCAGTGCCACAGATCGGGAGACAGAGCCAAAGTGCTGGTGACCTCAGAGATCTCTGAAGGAGGAACCTAAGGAACATTGGGGGCCACCTGACCAGTGCCACAGATCGGAAGACAGAGCCAAAGTGCTGGTGACCTCAGAGATCTATGAAGGAGGAACCGCAGGAACATTTGGGGGCCACCTGACCAGTGCCACAGATCGGGAGACAGAGCCAAAGTGCTGGTGACCTCAGAGATCTCTGAAGGAGGAACCTCAGGAACATTGGGGGCCACCTGACCAGTGCCACAGATCGGGAGACAGAGCCAAGGTGCTGGTGACCTCAGAGATCTCTGAAGGAGGAACCGCAGGAACATTGGGGGCCACCTGACCAGTGCCACAGATCGGGAGACAGAGCCAAAGTGCTGGTGACCTCAGAGATCTCTGAAGGAGGAACCGCAGGAACATTGGGGGCCACCTGACCAGTGCCACAGATCGGGAGACAGAGCCAAAGTGCTGGTGACCTCAGAGATCTCTGAAGGAGGAACCACAGGAACATTGGGGGCCCCCCATCTACAGAGAGACCATCAGCCACCTGACTGGTGCCACGGATCGGGAGACAGAGCTCCATTCTCCAGCCATTCAAGTCGTCAAGTCTGCTGCTTTGTGCTGAGGTTCAGCTCCTCATAACTTTCACATGATGAGGCCTCCCAAGCCCTGGCCCCTCTGGCCCCACAGGTACTACAGCTTCACAGTCCAATCACAGGAGCCCACCGCCGTGTCTTGCCCTCCTCAGGTTAAACGAGAAGCAGGACTTATTTTCCCCAATTATACTTACCTAGGTGGCCGCTGCATCGGCCCCCCACCGATTGGGGGGCATATCTACTGTGAGGCAAACAAGGTATTTGCCTAGGGCGGCATCTTTCAGGGGGGGAGGCATGGGGCAGGTACAAGGAGTACAGGAGTGCAGGCTCTGGGTGTGTGTGTGTGTGTGGGGGGGGGGGGGGGCAGAGGACGTGGTCTGGCACTTGTTACAAGACGTGTGACAAATATAGATGGGTGGGGGAGGGGAGGGGGGCGATATTAGTCTGGCCCAGGGAAGCACAAAACCAAAGTACACCATTGCCGCCGGCTCTAAGTGTGAGAACTTGGTGATCACATGACCTGAGTCCTCCTCTCCGAGGGGCAGAGAGCGGGGACTGTTGGTCTGTCCCCCCCCCCGCTGGGCTGCGGAGGGGGGGGGGGGGGCTGGCTGTACTTCTCCTTTAAGCCACACCATTGCTTCCACCGCAGTTGGCCCAGTTCCTGCATTGCTGCAGTGAGTCTCTGGGATCGCAGGAGGAATGAATCCCTACAAAGAGGGGGGTTCCCCCCAGTTCTTCAGTCCCTCCCTGCGGGGCACATGTCACCCCGGGTGTGATGGCCCAGCTCCTTTCCTCTGTAGTCACACTTTATTAAGGAACTTCTGCCTTTTGCTACCAGAGGGATTTGAACTCTTAAAGTGCACCAACCCGGGCCCCATCGAGCGCGCAGAAGATCTTAAGCTGCAGTTTAAAGGGACTGTGACCTACCCCATCCCAGAGTTCTTTCTTAGCCTCAGAATTGGACCCCGTTCCTGCCTCTGAGGGCCCAAAGTGAGCTAGCCGCTCTGCTTGGTAGTTTTCCTGCTCACTGAGGAGACATCTCAGGGCTGGGACTAGTGGCTGAATTCTGAATTGCAGGCCGTGCAGAGCGGGTTGACGTTCTGCTGTGTGGGAGTGAGAGCTGAGATTTCCTGCACAAACGGGGATTACATCGAATCTCCAGCCAAGGAATCGCTTCACTCTAAACCGTCAGCTTTGTGGTCAGGCGGACCCTCGGACTGGAGGTGTCAGCGGGGGGGGGGGGCTTCTAGAGCGCGGTCAGGCAAGACAGGGAACCCAAAAATGACTCAGCGACCCCTGAGGGGGCAGAGCTCCACGAATATAGAACGTCCTTTACACGGCGGACTCTCATTACGGGATATCAGGTGTGGTCACCTCCCAGCAACCCACCTATTGATTCATACTCTGTGCGGTCCCCTATGGACTCAGCGGTCATGTTCTGTGCGGTCAGGTCTGTGGTCCCCTATGGACTCAGCGGTCATGCTCTGTGCGGTCCGATCCGTGGTCCCCTATGGACTCAGCGGTCATGATCTGTGCGGTCCTCTGTGGCTCCGCCCCTCCACCCAGAACGAATACTCGGGGATCGTAGGGCGTGCCGGGCAGAGTCGGAATGAAGACGAATGTTGGGAATCGATGATAATGATATTTATTTATTTATTTTTTTCATGTTCTGTGCGGTCAGATCTGTGGTCCCCTATGGACTTAGAGGTCATGTTCTGTGCGGTCAGGTCTGTGGTCCCCTATGGACTTAGAGGTCATGTTCTGTGCGGTCAGATCTGTGGTCCCCTATGGACTCAGCGGTCATGTTCTGTGCGGTCAGATCTGTGGTCCCCTATGGACTTAGAGGTCATGTTCTGTGCGGTCAGATCTGTGGTCCCCTATGGACTCAACGGTCATGTTCTGTGCGGTCAGATCTGCGGTTCCCTATGGACTCAGCGGTCATGTTCTGTGCGGTCAGGTCTGCGGTTCCCTATGGACTCAGCGGTCATGTTCTGTGCGGTCAGGTCTGCGGTCCCCTATGGACTCAGCGGTCATGTTCTGTGCGGTCAGGTCTGCGGTCCCCTATGGACTCAGCGGTCATGTTCTGTGCGGTCAGGTCTGTGGTCCCCTATGGACTTAGCGGTCATGATCTGTGCGGTCAGGTCTGCGGTCCCCTATGGACTCAGCGGTCATGGTCTGTGCGGTCAGGTCTGCGGTCCCCTATGGACTCAGCGGTCATGTTCTGTGCGGTCAGGTCTGCGGTCCCCTATGGACTCAGCGGTCATGTTCTGTGCGGTCAGGTCTGCGGTCCCCTATGGACTCAGCGGTCATGTTCTGTGCGGTCAGGTCTGCGGTCCCCTATGGACTCAGCGGTCATGTTCTGTGCGGTCAGGTCTGCGATCCCCTATGGACTCAGCGGTCATGTTCTGTGCGGTCAGGTCTGCGGTCCCCTATGGACTCAGCGGTCATGTTCTGTGCGGTCAGGTCTGCGGTCCCCTATGGACTCAGCGGTCATGTTCTGTGCGGTCAGATCTGCGGTCATGTTCTGTGTGGTCAGGTCTGCTGTCCCCTATGGACTCAGCGGTCATGTTCTGTGCGGTCAGATCTGCGGTCATGTTCTGTGTGGTCAGGTCTGCTGTCCCCTATGGACTCAGCGGTCATGATCTGTGCGGTCAGGTCTGCGTTCCCCTATGGACTCAGCGGTCATGTTCTGTGCGGTCAGGTCTGTGGTCCCCTATGGACTCAGCGGTCATGTTCTGTGCGGTCAGGTCTGCGGTCCCCTATGGACTCAGCAGTCATGTTCTGTGCGGTCAGGTCTGCGGTCCCCTATGGACTCAGCGGTCATATTCTGTGCGGTCAGGTCTGCGGTCCCCTATGGACTCAGCGGTCATGGTCTGTGCGGTCAGGTCTGCGGTCCCCTATGGACTCAGCGGTCATGTTCTGTGCGGTCAGGTCTGCGGTCCCCTATGGACTCAGCGGTCATGTTCTGTGCGGTCAGGTCTGTGGTCACCTATGGACTCAGCGGTCATGTTCTGTGCGGTCAGGTCTGCGGTCCCCTATGGACTCAGCGGTCATGTTCTGTGCGGTCAGGTCTGCGGTCCCCTATGGACTCAGCGGTCATGATCTGTGCGGTCAGGTCTGCGGTCCCCTATGGACTCAGCGGTCATGTTCTGTGCGGTCCTCTGTGGCTCCGCCCCTCCACCCAGAACGAATACTCGGGGATCATAGGGCGTGCCGGGCAGAGTCGGAATGAAGACGAATGTTGGGAATCGATGATAATGATATTTATTTTTTTTTCATATAAAATTACAGAAAGCAGCCAGGCGGGGGATGGGGGGGAGGGGTGGACAGAGCTGATTGGACTGTCATCACAAGCTCCGCCCAGGAGGATCACAAACGATTCTTCCAGCAATTATTCATATAAGATTGGAGCAGAGTTGTGTTAGCAGGTCCACGAATGGGCGGAGCATACATCACATGTTCTCAGTCTGAGCAGCCAATCACATTGATGCAGCAGGTGGCGGTGCGTAGTGGGCGGAGCATACATCACATGTTCTCAGTCTGAGCAGCCAATCACATTGATGCAGCAGGTGGCGGTGCGTAGTGGGCGGAGCATACATCACATGTTCTCAGTCTGAGCAGCCAATCACATTGATGCAGCAGTTGGCGGTGCGTAGTGGGCGGAGCATACATCACATGTTCTCAGTCTGAGCAGCCAATCACATTCACGCAGCAGGTGGCATTGCGTAGTGGGCGGAGCATGCATCACATGTTCTCAGTCTGAGCAGCCAATCACATTGATGCAGCAGGTGGCGGTGCGTAGTGGGCGGAGCATACATCACATGTTCTCAGTCTGAGCAGCCAATCACATTCACGCAGCAGGTGGCGGTGCGTAGTGGGCGGAGCATGCATCACATGTTCTCAGTCTGAGCAGCCAATCACATTGATGCAGCAGGTGGCGGTGCGTAGTGGGCGGAGCTCATTCTACGCGGGGGGAAGAGCAGGAATCCGCTGAACACGCTGCTGCTGGCGTCTTTACTGGCGATTCTGCGGCTCTTGGCGTCGGTCTCCAGCCACACCTGGTCGTTGCGGTCCAGGTTGATGACGGTTCCTCCAGAGTTGACCTGGTTGCGGTTGGACGTGTTCCGGTCGCAGAAGCTGAGCAGTTTCTTGGCGTTGTTGGCCCCGAGTTTGGCCCAGATATGGAGGCAGAGATCTCCGATGGAGACCACCTGGAAGGTGAAGTAATAGTAGCCGGGCTCGGCACAGAGGAAGCGCCCCGAGGAACCGTCATACACCCCCTCCTGATTGGTGATGATGTCCCCGAAGAGCAACATGTTCTCCTTCATGCCGGTGTAGACCGCTGAGAACGCCGGCCGCTGCTGGCTCCTGCCATCCGCCATCGCTCCTTTGGATCCAGGTAGGCCGGGCTCTCCTGGAGGCCCTAGGGGCCCCTCTGGACCCTTGTATCCTATAGAGCCAGGCTCGCCAGGGGCCCCGGGGTCTCCGGCATCACCTTTGCTCATTGTTAACCCAGAACGTCGACCGCCATCTCCTGAAAGAGGGAAAAGAGGACATGGGTGTCGGAGGAGCGCCGACTATCCACCAAAACTCCACCTTTCAATATGGCCGACTAAGGACAACCTATCATGATCTCACCTGCCAATCCTACAACAGGACAGAATACCCCCCAACTCCGCCTATTTCTATACCTCCAACCCAACTCCGCCTACCTCTATACCTCCAACCCAACTCCGCCTACTTCTATACCTCCACCTCCAAGCCAACTCCACCTACTTCTATACCTTCACCTCCAACCCAACTCCGCCTACTTCTATAGCTCTACCTCAAAGCCAACTCCACCTACTTCTTTACCTCCTCCAACCCAACTCTGCCTACTTCTATACCTCCAACCCAATCCAACTCCGCCTACTTCTTTACCTCCAACCCCAACCCAACTCCACCTACTTCTATACCTTTACCTCCAACCCAACTCTGCCTACTTCTACCTTCACCTCCAACCCAACCCAACTCCGCCTACTTCTATACCTCCACCTCCAACCCAACTCCACCTACTTCTATACCTTTACTTCCAACCCAACTCCGCCTACTTCTATACCTCCACCTCCAACCCAACTCCGCATACTTCTATACCTCCAACCCAACTCCGCCTACTTCTATACCTCCACCTCCAACTCCACCTCCAACCTAACTCCACCTACTTCTATACCTCCAACCCAACCCAACTCCGCCTACTTCTATACCTCCAACCCAACTCCACCTACTTCTATACCTCCAACCCAACTCCACCTACTTCTATACCGCCACTCCAACCCAACTCCACCTACTTCTATACCTCCAACCCAACTCCACCTACTTCTATACCTCCACATCCAACCCAACTCCACCTACTTCTATACCTCCACATCCAACCCAACTCCACCTACTTCTATACCTCCAACCCAACTCCACCTACTTCTATACCGCCACCCCCAACCCAACTCCCTACTTCTATACCTCCAACCCAACTCCACCTACTTCTATACCTCCACATCCAACCCAACTCCACCTACTTCTATACCTCCACATCCAACCTAACTCCACCTACTTCTATACCTCCAACCCAACTCCGCATACTTCTATACCTCCACCTCCAACCCAACTCCACCTACTTCTATACCTGCAACCCAACTCCGCCTACTTCTATACCTGCAACCCAACTCCACCTACTTCTATACCTGCAACCCAACTCCGCCTACTTCTATACCTCCAACCCAACTCCACCTACTTCTATACCTCCAACCCAACTCCACCTACTTCTATACCTCCACATCCAACCCAACTCCACCTACTTCTATACCTCCAACCCAACTCCACCTACTTCTATACCTCCACATCCAACCCAACTCCACCTACTTCTATACCTCCACATCCAACCTAACTCCACCTACTTCTATACCTCCAACCCAACTCCGCATACTTCTATACCTCCACCTCCAACCCAACTCCACCTATTTCTATACCTGCAACCCAACTCCGCCTACTTCTATACCTGCAACCCAACTCCACCTACTTCTATACCTCAACCCAACTCCGCCTACTTCTATACCTCCAACCCAACTCCACCTACTTCTATACCTCCAACCCAACTCCACCTACTTCTATACCTGCAACCCAACTCCACCTACTTCTATACCTGCAACCCAACTCCACCTACTTCTATACCTGCAACCCAACTCCACCTACTTCTATACCTCCAACCCCCAACTCCACCTACTTCTATACCTCCAACCTAACTCCCACCTACTTCTATACCTCCACATCCAACCCAACTCCACCTACTTCTATACCTCCAACCCAACTCCACCTACTTCTATACCTCCAACCCAACCCAACTCCACCTACTTCTATACCTCCACGTCCAACCCAACTCCACCTACTTCTATACCTCCACCTCCAACCCAACTCCACCTACTTCTATACCTCCAACCCAACTCCACATACTTCTATTCCTCCAACCCAACTCACCCTACTTCTATACCTCCACATCCAACCTAACTCCACCTACTTCTATACCTCCAACCCAACTCCGCCTACTTCTATACCTGCAACCCAACTCCGCCTACTTCTATACCTGCAACCCAACTCCGCCTACTTCTATACCTGCAACCCCAACTCCACCTACTTCTATAGGGTTGTGTCCAACCCAAGTCCACCTACTTCTATACCTCCCCCAACTCCACCTACTTCTATACCTCCAACCCAACTCCACCTACTTCTATACCTCCAACCAACTCCACTACTTCTATACTCCACATCCAACCCAACTCCACCTACTTCTATACCCCAACTACCCACTCCACCTACTTCTATACCCCATACCCAGAACTCCACCTACTTCTATACCTCCACATCCAACCCAACTCCACCTACTTCTATACCTCCAACCCAACTCCACTACTTCTATACCTCCACTCCAACCTAACTCCACCTACTTCTATACCTCCAACCCAACTCCGCCTACTTCTATACCTGCAACCAACTCCGCAGACTTCTATACCTCCAACCCAACTCCGCCTACTTATATACCTCCAACCCAACTCCGCCTACTTCTATACCTCCAACCAACTCCGCCTATTATATACCTCCAACCCAACTCCGCCTACTCTATACCTCCAACCCAACTATACGCCTACTTCTATACCTCCCCTCCAACCTAACTCCGCCTACTTCTATACCTCCACTTCCAAGCCAACTCACCTACTTCTATACCTCCACCTCCAAGCCAACTCCGCCTACTTCTATACCTCCACCTCCAAGCCAACTCTGCATGCTCCTATACCTCCACTTCTCCCAACTCCACCTACTTCTATACCTCCACCTCCAAGCCAACTCCGCCTACTCCTATACCTCCACCTCTTCTCCCAACTCCGCATACTTCTATACCTCCACCTCCAAGCCAACTCCGCCTACTCCTATACCTCCACCTCTTCTCCCAACTCCGCCTACTTCTATACCTCCACCTCCAAGCCAACTCCGCATACTCCTATACCTCCACCTCCAACCCAACTCCGCCTACTTCTATACCTCCACCTCCATAACTCCGCCTACTCCTATACCTCCACCTCTTCTCCTAACTCGGTCCTACTTCTGTACCTCCACCTCTAACCCAACTCCGCTCCTACTTCTATCCCTCCACTTCTTATCCCAACTCCGCCTACTCCTTTACCTCCACCTCCAACCCAACTTCGCCTACTTCTATCCCTCCACTTCTTATCTCAGAGGTCCGCCTACTCCTATACATCCACCTCATATCCCAGAGGTCCGCCTAGGGACTTCATACAGCTCAGGTTATCCCAGAGGTCAGTCTACTCCTATAGCCAGTCATTTACACCTCCAGAGGTCAGTATGTGGGTATATAGCTCCACCTACTTATCAGAGTCTGGGGTATATATAGCCTCCAGCTCTAGGGAACAGAGGTCAGTACTTCTATACCTAGCTCAGGTATACACCAGGTCAGTCCCAGGGTACTAGCTATTCTATACAGTAGGTAACCCTGGAGTATTATAATAGCAGATCAGGTATACAGAGGTCCAGTAGCGGGGTATATAGGCTCATACCGGGGTCCCCATACAGAGGTCTCCCTTCTGTCCCAGGTATATAGCATAGCAGAGGTCAGTCTGGGTATACCCTCAGGGTATCCAGGTCAGTGTGGTATATAGCTCAGACATCTAAGAGGTCAGTATGGGATATATAGCTCAAATACAATAGGTAGGCTGAGAAGGTATATAGCTCAGGGGGTCCCCATGGTTTCCTGGGGGAAATATATAGTCAGTAACCCATAGCAGAGGTCAGTGACAGGGGTATAGATAGCTGTATACAGGAACCAGTATGGGGGTGGGTATAGGGCCATACAGAGGTCAGTATGTAGGGACCCCATAGCTCAGGTATGTTTAGGGACCCCATAGTAGGGGTGTGTGTAGGGACCAGGTATAGCAGAGGTGTGTGTGGGGGTATAGCAGCTCAGTGTAGTATACAGAGCAGTCCAGTGGGTATATAGCTCCCAGGTATACAGAGGGTGTGTAGGGACCCCATATAGCTCAGGTATACAAGTCAGTAGGGGTATATAGCTCAGTATACAGAGGTGTGTGGGGTACCCTATAGCTCAGGTATACAGAGGTCATAGCAGGGGTGTATATAGCTCAGGACCCTTACAGAGCAGTCAGGTGTAGGGGATACATACAGAGGTCAGTCGTGGGGACCCCATAGCTCAGGGGTATGTGTAGAGGAGTCAGTATGGGGTATATAGTCAGGGACCCAATATACAGAGGTCAGTAGGGGTATATAGCTCAGGTACAGAGGTCAGTTAGCTCAGGGACCCCATACAGAGGTCAGTGTAGGGGTATATAGCTCAGGTAGCAGAGGTCAGTATGGGGTATATAGCTCAGGTATACAGAGGTCAGTCTGGGGTATATAGCTCAGGGTGTGAGGTCAGTCTGGGGTATATAGCTCAGGTATACAGAGGTCAGTATGGGGGCCCCCATATATAGCTCAAGGTATACAGAGGTCAGTATGGGGCCCCATAGTAGGGGTCAGTGTATACAGAGGTCAGTCTGGGGTATATAGCTCAGGTATACAGAGGTCAGTATGGGGTATATAGCTCAGGTATACAGAGGTCAGTCTGGGGTATATAGCTCAGGTATACAGAGGTCAGTCTGGGGTATATAGCTCAGGTATACAGAGGTCAGTATGGGGTATATAGCTCAGGTATACAGAGGTCAGAGGGGTATATATAGCTCAGGTACCAGAGGTCAGTATGGGGTATATAGCTCAGTATACAGAGGTCAGTATGGGGTATATAGCTCAGGTATACAGAGGTCAGTATGGGGTATATAGCTCAGGTATACAGAGGTCAGTATGGGGTATATAGCTCAGGTATACAGAGGTCAGTCGGGGTATATAGCTCAGGTATATACAGAGGTCAGTATGGGGTATATAGCTCAGGTATACAGAGGTCAGTTCGGGGGTATATAGCTCAGGTATACAGAGGTCAGTCTGGGGTATATAGCTCAGGTATACAGAGGTCAGTATGGGGTATATAGCTCAGGTATACAGAGGTCAGTATGGGGTATATAGCTCAGGTATACAGAGGTCAGTATGGGGGTATATAGCTCAGGTATACAGAGGTCAGTCTGGGGTATATAGCTCAGGTATACAGAGGTCAGTATGGGGTATATAGCTCAGGTATACAGAGGTCAGTCTGGGGTATATAGCTCAGGTAATACAGAGGTCAGTCTGGGGTATATAGCTCAGGTATACAGAGGTCAGTATGGGGTATATAGCTCAGGTATACAGAGGTCAGTATGGGGTATATAGCTCAGGTATACAGAGGTCAGTATGGGGTATATAGCTCAGGTATACAGAGGTCAGTATGGGGTATATAGCTCAGGTATACAGAGGTCAGTATGGGGGGTATATAGCTCAGGTATACAGAGGTCATGTGGGGTATATAGCTCAGGTATACAGAGGTCAGTATGGGGTATATAGCTCAGGTATACAGAGGTCAGTCTGGGGTATATAGCTCAGGTATACAGAGGTCAGTCTGGGGTATATAGCTCAGGTATACAGAGGTCAGTCTGGGGTATATAGCTCAGGTATACAGAGGTCAGTCTGGGGTATATAAGCTCAGGTCAGAGGTCAGTTATGGGGTATATAGCTCAGGTATACAGAGGTCAGTCTGGGGTATATAGCTCAGGTATACAGAGGTCAGTCTGGGGTATATAGCTCAGGTATACAGAGGTCAGTATGGGGTATATAGCTCAGGTATACAGAGGTCAGTCTGGGGTATATAGCTCAGGTATACAGAGGTCAGTATGGGGTATATAGCTCAGGTAAACAGAGGTCA